GCATCTTGGCGACTGTGATTCTGCTCTGCATCATTGCTGTTCTGTGCTACTGCCGGCTCCAGGTACTCTCAGAGGGCGGGGAAAGGGACAGGCGGGACAGCCCGGAGGGTGCCCCCACCTCGGGAGGGAGCCCCGCATGAAGGCCACAAGGGTCAAGGCCCGAGAAGTAGGGAAGAGCCTCGTGGCAGAGGAGACGCTGAGCAGAGGGCAGCCGGGACCCCACTGTGGGGCTCAGTGAGATGTGCCTGAGTCCCCTCACCTGGGGCTTTTAATGAGGCTCAGAGAGGGGAAGGGACTTAGCCCAAGGGAGTGCTGCAGTGAGCCTCCCTGCCCATCTGCACTCCAGGGCCGTCCAGGGTCCCTGTGTCTCCCTGAGAGATGAGGGGGAGCCATCGGTGCAGGGCAAGGCAACAAAGCTGCCCACGCCGGTGCCTTCCGGCTCTGCCGATGTGGGCTGCAGACCCTTCCAGGCCTCAGTATCCCCACCTGCAAAATGGAAATAACAGTCACACTGTGCATTGCTGGGTGGAAGAGATGAGTGGATCATCGCGAAGCACCCCACACTGTGCCTGGCCGGAGCGAGGCCCATAGCGCCAGTTAAACAGCTGAGGTGTCAGGCCTGGGCCGCCCCATGCCCGCTGTGCCTGTCTCCTCTGCCCAGTTGGGGCTAGCCCTTCCTGCATGCGGGTGCCGGGGTGGGAGCGGGCTGCCGCAGGGTCGCCGTCCCTCTGCCCGCAGTACTACTGCTGCAAGAAGGACGAGCCGGAGGAGGACGAGGAGGAGCCGGACTTCGCCGTCCACTCGCACCTGCCCCCGCTGCACTCCAACCGCAACCTGGTGCTGACCAACGGGCCGGCGCTCTACCCCACTGCCTCCACCTCCTTCAGCCAGAAGTCCCCGCAGGCCCGAGCCCTCTGCCGCAGCTGCTCCCACTGCGAGCCCCCGGCCTTCTTCCTGCAGGAGCCGCCGGAGGAGGAAGAAGATGTGCTGAACGGCGGGGAGCGCGTGCTCTACAAGAGCGTCAGCCAGGAGGACGTGGAGCTGTCCCCGGGGGACTTCCAGGGGCTGCAGGCGCTCAACCCCAACCGCCTCTCTGCCATGCGGGAGGCCTTCGCCCGTAGCCGCAGCATCAGCACTGACGTGTGACCGGGGCCTGCCCCCGAGTCCCTGAGGGTCCTGAGACCATGGCAGGGCTCCCGTGGCACACCCGCCTGGCCCCAGGCCCCAAGTGGGGCTTGGCTGAGCCCTCCTCAAATCCCTGTCCTCAGGGGAGGCCCAGGCTTGAGGAGCCCCCGGGCTCGAGGCAGGGATAAGGCTCATTGAACACAAACATGTCCCCAGGGAGGCACAGCTGGGATCTGGGGCTGGAAGGACCAGGTGACCATACAGCGGGCCGGGCATGGATGGTTGCTCCTGACGCTTCTGTCTCAGCCACAGCAACTTGGCCAACCCGAGGGGTCTCCATGGGTCACCCCATCCCTGGGCCTCGGCCTCATCTGCTCAAGGAAGGGGTGACCTCAGTGAGGCTCGGGGCCCTACAGCAAGGCACCCCCACCCCGGCGATTGCAGACCAAGGATTCCGCGCCTCCACCCTGAACTCGGGCCTCTCTCTGCCTCTTTTCCCTCTCTCCCCCCACTCCTCCCTCCCCCTCTCTCACACACACTCCGTTTCAAGTGCCAAGCGTCTGCCCAGGCTGAGACACGAGGTGCTGAGCTCCCTGCAGATGGACAGGTTGCCCTAAATGGGAGACTGTCGGGGGCAGCAGGGCCCTTGGGATGCTCAGCCCAGACAGGCGTGTTGGTGGGAGGCGGAGAGGCCATGTCACAGCCCACCTGCCTTGGGACCAACAGTGTGGAAATGCTCAGACGCAGTGCTCAGCCAGAAACCGGCTGGCAGGAGGCAGCCCGGGGCCGGTTAGAGTGGGCAGAGCCGAGGCCCAGGGTTTGACAACCCCCTAGTCCCTGTGAGACTTGGATGGCCCTTCCCATCCTTGGGCCTCGGTCTCCCCATCTTGTGTGATGAGGGGCTGGTCGCAGAGGGACCCTGAGGACGGAGATCTTCAGGCTCTGGGTCTCAACAGGAACTGAGGTCCCCAAGGGAGACAGAGCTGCAGGTCACCTCCCCCACCTGCTTCTTAGCAGGATCCAGGAGGTCCAGCCCAGCCCCACCCTGCTCCCAGTGGACCCCAAGCAGCCGGAGCCTCCTGCTGCTGTGTGAAGGCCTACCCTGAGCCCACTCTCCACCAAGCGCCCACCCAGGCTGAGGATTCCCGGGAATTCCCACTCGCTGTCCTGCTGCTAAGGAAATGACGTCAATGGCTACCCCAGAGAAATCCCCCAAACCCGGGGTCACCAGCCATCAGGAAAGCAGCTCTTCCTCACCCAGGAAGAGGCACTGATTACTCTCAGCAGCCTGGCCCCAGGATTCCCCCTTCCCTCTCTGGGGCTCTCTCTCTCCTTCTGGGCCCTGCCATGGAGCCCCATGGCCAGGGCAGTCCGTCTCTGCCCAGGGAAGGCACTGTCCTGAAGGACAGGGCTGGCCGGGCGTGGTGGCTCATGCCTATAATCCCAGCACTTTGGGAGGCCAAGGCGGGTGGATCACGAGGTCAGGAGTTTAAGACCGGCCTGGCCAAGATGGTGAAACCCCGTCTCTACTAAAAACCACAAAAATTAACTGGGTGTGGTGGCAGGCACCTGTAAACCCAGCTACTCAGGAGGCTGAGGTAGGGGAACTGCTTGAACCCGGGAGGGAGAGGTTGCAGTGAGCCGAGATCATGCCACTGCACTCCAGCCTGGGTGACGGAGTGAGACTCTGTCTCAAAAAAATAAAAATTAAAAAAAGACAAAGGTTTGCAGGCCAGTGGCCTTCCCTGAGCTGGGGGTTGGGGGGTAGTGGGGGTGGCCTGAGCAGGACACTTCTTGCTCTTACTCAAAAACAAAGTCCCCCGTTTCTGGAGGTGTCGGAAGTGCTGGCGGAGACACGGTCGTTACAGTTCTGTGGCTCTCCTACTTTCTCCCTGCCTGGTTGGGACAGTCCAGTGGCATTCACCCTTGAGGTCCCTCGAAGCCCCGGCCCCCGGCCCGCCCACACCTCCGGCTTCCTCTGTGCATCTGTGAAGTCTGTTTCTGATGCGTTAGCGTGGGGGGTGGGCTGGGTGGGTCGGGGTGAGGGCTGGCCCGTGCTGTGGCTGTTCTGATTCCATTTCCCACTTCCTTTCTGGTCTCCGTCCCCTCTGTAAATACGTAGATCTCTTTGAACTGAAGTAAGCACCCATCCCTCCCAGCCTACTCGGCTCCCCCGTGGGGACCTGCTGGGGAGCTGCTGGCTCCCTGAGGAAAGTGAAAGCCAATAAAACATCTCCCACACTCCCGTGCAGCGTCTTCAGTCCACCCGGGCATCCAGGCCGTCCACACCCACACTCTCCAGCCTTCTGGGAGGGACTTCCTTCTACCCAGCAGGAGACAGAGTAAGCTTCTCCCCGAGACGTAGCCAGGAGGGCCAGGACTCTGCCTGGCGGGGCCGAGAGCTGCTCTCGGGCTTGGGGGCAAGGCAGTGGGGCACAGGTGAGTTTCCCGGGTGGCTCTCCACCTTCCAGCATTGAGGACCATGCTGTGGCGAGATTCCTGTGGCGGGATTCCCGTGGCACCCCCACGTGGCCCCAGGCCCCAAGTGGGGCTTGGCTGAGCCCTCCTCGAATCCCTGTCCTCAGGGGAGACCCAGGCTTGTGGCAGGCATAAGGCTCATTGAATGCAAACGTGTCCTGGGCGGAGGCACGGCTGGGGCCTGGGGCTGGAAGGACCAGGGTGGACTCTGAGCCCCTGGACGGAGGGTTGTGGGGGACAGGCTGGGTCCCCTGGGACAAGTGACTGAGCATCTCTGGGCCTCAGTTTTATCTTCCACACAATGCAGTGATCATGATACCTGTGTTGCAGTGACCTTTGGAACATAAACCCAGGCGGCACCTGTGCTGGCCACAGAACCTGGTATACAGTAAGTATACAATAAGTGTTGGCAGAAAGGAGGCGCCGGGGAGGAAAAAAGTAAGACAGGAAGAAGAGGTGAGGGCGGGCACAGGGTGAGGTGGGCAGAGGCCTCAGACTCCCGGTCTCAGCGACTCGGTTCTGACCGGCCCAAGCTGGTGATTTTGAGCAAGTCCATACCAGGAGCCTCTAACTCCCGGGCTTCAGGGATTGAAAGGTCCATCCCGACTGCAGCCCCTCAACGCACATGCGTGCAGTCACACCCAGAGGCAAGAATACACTGGGGGGGGGTACTGCCTCAGTTTCCCCAGAGCCCCAAGTCGTTCAGAAGCTGTCCCAAAGCTGTGGGGGACCCTGCTCTGGCTCCCAGTCTGAGGACAAGCTGGCCTCACATCAAGGAAGCAGCTGGCACCCGCTTACCTCCCGGGTGCCTGTGGCACCGAGACACCTCCTGGGGTCCCTCCTCCCACGCGGCATCCTCCGGCTGTGTCACTTTTCCTCTCCGGGGTCCTCTTTCCCACCTTCTCATCTGGGAAAAGCCACTCCTGCTGCTGGTTCAGCTGAGCAGCCCCTCCCCAGAGGCCCCTGTGTCCGTGCACCCACGTGTCCAGGTCAGGAAGCCCCCCCTGAGGTCCAGGAACGGCAGTGACGGTGCTGTTTCCTGAGGCTCAAAGTGGGCCCAGGCCCGTGCCCCCAACACCTCCTGGCTCCCTCTCTTCTTCCCAATGCGCTTGCCAGTGGGTGTCCCACACCTTAGCCAAGGTCCCCAGCCCCTGCTCCACAGCTCCTGTACCAGGTGCTGACGGGCTTGAGATGTCAACTCCACTCCTACTCCAGCGCCTGTCCCGGTGCCCCCAAACGCCCTCCCGGGCCCCTTGTTGCTTCTGTCTGCACCTGCACCCTCCTCACCCCACATCTGAGGCCTCAGTGAGCTGGAGAGACCCCACATGGCCATGCCTGGGCCCTCCAAGCCCCGAGGCTGCCCACTCCTCCAGCCAGAAGCAACTGAGACCCCACGATGCCGCCATAAATAGGACCACTTTATTAACATAGATGAGCACTGACCCGACTGCAGGGGCGGGGCCCGAGGTCCATCCCAAACGCCCCGTGGGCAAGCGCCTCTGCCCAGGGTAGAAAGTGCAGCAGGAGGAGAGCTCCATGGGAGGGGCTCCATAGGAGGGGATACACCTGGGCCTCCTTGCTGCCTGCGCCCCGCCTCACCCCCTGGCCTCCAAGGGATGGAGGCCCCCCACGTTGGGCTTGCCTGCCAGTCTTCTTCAGAAGGCCCTGTCACCCAGAGAGGGCATGGGCTTCAGGCTAGGGGTAAGACACCTCCACCACTTGGCTGTGGGCCCTGGGCCCCTCAGCTGGGGGCTGCTGGGGGCCGGGGAGGGAGGCCACGAACACAGGATCCACGCAGGAACACGGATGGGCTCCCACGGTAGGGGTGGCTCTGTTTTGGGGGAGGCCAGTGGGTGCTGGAGGACACTGCCCATTTCTCTGCCCCAGGAGCACAAAAGTCCATGGGCCATGGGAAGTCCCCTCTTGACAGCCGAGGCTCAGTGCCACGTCCCTCAGGCCGGCGTGCCCTGCAGGAGGGGTGTCTGTGGAGGACCCCAGAAGCTGCAGCAGCTTGGTCTTTGTCTGGAAGGGGCTGCAGCTGCCGCACCTAGGAGTGGGGGGGCCTGCAGGAGCGGCAGCACGCCTTGCTGTAGTACCAGTGCCCACAGAGGTTCACCTTGATGGCCAGGGCACAGTTGGTGCCCGGCTGGTCCTGACAGCTGTCATCTGGAGAAGGAACACAGGGCGAAGCGGGGCAGTTTCAGGAGGTGGCCGACGGGTGAAAACCCCAAGGACCCTCACGTGTCTTTTTCCAGGGGTAGGGGCAGCGAGCCTCCCACCCCACACAGACCTCCATCTCTAGCTCTCTGCCACCTCTTTCCTAGCCCCTATCTGTCCCCAAGTGGTCGCCTTCCCCGATCACGCCAGGTGATTTGATCTGTCCCAAGAGGGTGAGGCCTGGGGCTGGGGTCTAGAGGAGCTACAGAGGTCGCACCCAAGGACTAAGTGTCCCCAAGGGGTCCCCAGGGGCTGCCCCGGCCACCACTCAATGTATTCAAAGGGGGCTGGGGTCTAGAGGAGCTACAGAGGTCGCACCCAAGGACTAAGTGTCCCCAAGGGGTCCCCAGGGGCTGCCCCGGCCACCACTCAATGTATCCAAATGGGGCTGGGGTCTAGAGGAGCTACAGAGGTCGCACCCAAGGACTAAGTGTCCCCAAGGGGTCCCCAGGGGCTGCCCCGTCCACCACTCAATGTATCCAAAGCAGAACTCATCACACACCCTGCACCTGGCACCTGTTGGAGCCTGTCCCCTGTCCCGCCTTCAGGTGCCCTCCCCTCCCTGCCCCATGTCCCAGCCCCTGGCCATTCCAGCTGAATCATCCTGGATTCAGCTCTCGGCCCCACAGTGGCCCCGCCATCTGAAGCTGACATTTTCCCCAAAGTATGGGTCTCAGCATGGCTCCCTGGAGCTGTGGAGCCCCAATCAGGCATCCCCCACCCCCCTTCCCACTCCCCTCTCAGCGGGGCTCAGCCATGAGGGAGGAGGCCTCCGCTCCTAGTACACCTTGGTCTCTCTCAGCTGGTTCCCGGGCTCACCATCCAGGTGAGCGATGGCTGCTCATCCTTCAGGCCCTGGCTCTGCCCTCACCTCCCTGGGAAGCCCCAGGCCCACCTCTGCCTCCCCGCCCCTCACCTGGGGGCTCCGTGGGGCAGGGCTGCAGATCACAGGCCTGTCTGCCAACGGGCTTCACCAGCGGGTCGCAGCCGCGGACGATGTCAGTCCCCTGGTAGCACTTGACGTCTCGCATCCTCACGCCCACCCCGCAGGTCTTGGTGCACTGGTGTGGGAGACAGTGGGTGTGGGGAAAGCCCCCCGATGGGGCCAAGGCTTGGGCAGGAGGCGGGGAACCTGCACATTCACGCTTCCCCACCCCACCCTTCCCAGGCGGCTGTGGGCCCAGCTGACATGGGACCCAGGGAAGCACATTGGAAACTAGACCTGCAGCCCCAGGCCGAGCTGAGGTGGAGACCAAAGGGCACTGGCAGGTGGTCAGGGGGCTCTGATTCTCTCCCACCCAGGGCTGCCTCAGTCTCCCCAGGTGCACAGTGAGAGGTGGTCCCTCCTCTCTCATCTCCCAGAGGGTCCTCTGGGCCCAGCTCTCCTGGGTCTGTGGTGCAGACCGTTTGTCATAAGCTGATAGAATGCATCTCGCGAAGCCACCAACCCCTCCAGTGGCTCGCTGACCAGATGTTCCCCTTGGAAAACCCCGCTGAGCTCCCCAGAACACCAGAGACATCTGCTGGCCACAGTCACCCTGCTGTCCTCCTGCCAAGATCCCACAGGAGATGGCCCCCTCACACTCCCCCCGACACGGGTGACCCCACATCACCCAGGCACGTCTGGGACCCCAGCCCTCAGTTCTCTGAGGTGGGCGGGGTGGGAGGCCCCAGCCCAGGGGCCCACTCTCCACTTCTGTTTGCAAAGGAGCGGGGAGGACCGATTAAGACTTGGCAGAAAGACGGCCGCCCGCCTGCCTGCTCCAAGCCAGGGGGTGGGGGCTGGCATGGTCTGTGGGCAAGAAGAGGCTGGCCTGGCACCGATGGCATGAGGACAGTCAGCCTTTGGCAGGGTCCCAAGGAGCCTCTGGACGTGCCTCTGGAGAGCAGCACATTCCCAGCCAGCCCTGGTGCCAGCTCCTCTGTCCCTGGGGAGCAGATGGGACTGGGCAGCTGGGGGAACAAACACTGACTGAGCCGCCACTATGCAGCAGCACTGGGGCAACCACGAGGAAGGAGGCATCCACATGCCCACCAGCTGTCTCTGCCAGCCACGCCTCATCCGGCCGTGCCACCTCCTCATCGGGGCTGGGGGTTCCCCTCCCCAGCACCCCAGGATGTTCTGGGGTCTTCCCTTCATGGCTCCCCCACGCCATGCTCATCACCCAGCAAGGTACCTGCACCTAGAGGGTCCCTGTTTCCTGGCCCCGCAGTGGTCTCCATCTGAAGCCAGCCCTCTTCCCAAACTACAGGCCTCAGCTGGCTCCCTAGGGCCCTGGAACCCCACTCAGCCTCCCACCCCTTCCCACTCTCCCCTCCCACCAGGCTCGGCCTTTCCAGAAGGAGCCATCCTGCCCCAGCACACCGTGGTCTCTCCGGTTGACTCCTGACTAAAGCTTGCCCACTCGTCTGGCCCTGGCTCAGCCCCTGTCTCCCCTGGGAAGCCCCAGGCCTGCCCTCAGTCTTTCCCCTCCTTGCCTGGGGGGTCCTTCAGTGGGCAACAGGGAATCAGTGAGGGTGACAGGCATGTGTGCTGTAGGGCAGGCAGAGGCCCTGGGCAGGGGCAGGATGGAGGCCACACGCCACGCAGAGTGCACGGAGAGCCCAGGGCCAGGGCCCCACTCTCTGAGCAGGGCCGTGCTGGGGTCCCCAGCTCAATCCTCACAGACTCTTGGACTCTCTGCCTTGAACTCATAAGGTTTAGGATCTGGCACCCACCCGTCACGGCAACCAAGACGTGGAGCCCTTGGGCGCCAGGGCCTGACACACAAGAACATTCCAGGCTCCGAGTCCCATCTGACACCCCTATTTTGTCGCCTGGGTATTCAGAGTTAGCCCATGAGGAAACTGAGGCCAGAGGTAGCTGGAGACTCCAGGTACACAGCCTGGCTGTGGCAGTCCCTGCCCAGTCATTCCCAGAGATCCTGTGGATGCCCCAGGTTCCCCTCTCAGAAGCTCATGGCATCGCTAGGTGGGAGGGCGCTGGGGCCAGGGCTGGGGCTGCTGTGAAAGGGGTGCAGAGGCTGATGTGAGTTACTCAAGCTGGAGTCTAGACAGGACAGCCTCCAGGGGCCCAGAAGGTGGAGGGGCACCCACTGGCTCAGGGCGGGGCCCTGGAGCCACCTGGAGGTCCCATGGGAAGTGGAGCAGAAGGGGAACACAGCAGGGGAGGTGAAAGCAATCTCTTTCCTCTACGAGACAGCTGGGGCAAGGGGATGCCCAGCCTGTCACCCTCTCTGTGAAACCAGGGCTACCCACCCACCTCGGGGCTCCCTGCTCTGGGCCCCTCAGGATGAGCTGGTTCAGGCCTCTCTTCCCTTGCAGATGTCACACCCCACGTGGGGTTCACTCTAGGGCTGGACAGGCCTGGGCAACAGTGCCTGCTACAGCCCCCAATTACTGTGGGACCCCAAGTGGGCCAGAGAGCTCTCTGAATGTCAGTTTCTTCCTCTGAGGAATGGGGAAAAGCGCCCCTCTCATGGCGCTATTGGGGGAGAGGGGACTCTTCAGGCCAAGAGCTGGGCCAGAGCTGCCACACGCGCCTCAAGGCCCTGGGATGGGAGGGCTCAGCTCCCCTCTATAGACAGCCGAGACCTCAGCTCTGTCCTGCCTGACATCCTGGAGCTGGGCATTCTGGAGGCTCAAGAGTCTAGGAATCTCGGAGGGGTGGGACCCACGCAGGAGATTTGCTGCCTTTCCTTCTGGCCCTGCCAGCGTCCTGACCTGGGGTATGTGTCTGTTACCGTCTCCCTAAATCCCAAGCTCCTGCCTTGGCAGTGGCTCCTGGAGGGCCAGGCCCATGTCTGACTCAGCCCAGTCTGCCTGCCGTGCCCACCTGGGGTCTGTCTATCCCATGGTGTCAGGCACATGGGCTGCCAAACACACAACTCAGAGGCCAGAGTTCCTGGACCCAAAAAGGCCCAGGACGAGTGCTGTAGGGATCCCAGGGACAAGAGCAGAGAAGGCTTCCTGGAGGCGGTGGCTCTCACACTAGCTGATGTGGTGGAGTTGAGAAGCTTTCCTGGGACGGAAAGCTCTGACAGAGGCTGTTGGGGAGGGGGGGTGGGAAGCACTTAAGGAAGCTGGAGGCAGGAGGGGCAGGATCAAAACTCAGGCCTGGTCTCAGGCAGCCTCAGAGGGGCGGCGGGAGCTCACCTCGGACCACGGGCTGGTGTACCACTTGAAGCAGGGCCTTTCGAAGCACGTGCTCTCCTCCGGAGGCTTCTTGGCGAGCCCGCACTCGGGGCTGCTGCGTGTCTGCGGCTTCCCGTTGGCCAGCTCCATGCAGAGCACCAGCCGCTTCTTGACTCCGCGCCCGCAGGTGGTGTTGCACTGAGGCCGGGGCAGAGGGATCGGGTCAGCGCCAGGGCCCGGCAGGACCCGACACGGGGCCCACGACAACCCTGCTGATAAGGGTCTGGTCAATAGCAATTGGGTGAGAATGCTCCAGTGCGTAACAGACTGGCCAAGAACTCTTTGTTCGATAACCATTTGGCCCCAAATGGATTTGATCAAAAGCAATTTAGCACAAAACCATCTGTTTTGAAACAAATTGGCTAATGACAATTTGGCCAACAACAATTTAGCCAAAATCAATTCAGCAGAAAACAATTTGGCTGGAGATGATCTGGTTTGGTGATCTGCCTGCGGCTCCTGGTTGAAAGCAATTTGCAGAGCTCGAGGCAGCTGAAATGGGAAGTGGGTGACGATGCCGGGTGGGCGGGAAGACACAATGGTCACGATCCAAGGTGGCACAGGCCGCAGGAGCAGGCAGCCCAAAAAATCCCTGACCCCAGCCTTCCACATTCCAGGGACTTGGGGACGCAGGCTGGGGGCAAGGCCAATTCTGCACGAATCACAGAGTACATGCAAAACTGGGATTTGGGAACCGATCAGGTGTTTTCCTACCTTTTAAGCCTTTTGTATTCTAGAATGATTTTTAGGAAATCGTGCCTCCATCATGTGCAGAGAATTCCTCTTTCTCGCCCATCTGTTGTCCCAGCCACCTGGCTCTCCTCTCTGGCCAAATGCTCTCCAAGCACAGGGAGGCCCTCCAGTGGACTCTGGGGTACTCACCCGCTCCCAGTCCTGGGCCAGCCAGTGGGCAGGACAGTTTTTGTCCCCACAGGGGTGGATGGCCAGAGGCTTGGTCTCCATCTGGCACTGGGACTCGGGCACCACCCGTCCATCACTGGTCTTACAGTACACGTGCCTGATGGTGCGGCCTTGCCCACAGCTTCCACTGCACTGCAGGGGGGAAGGGCAGGCAGGGGACACTGGGTGAGAGGCAGCCACGCCAGGAGGGGCCCTAGATGTCAGTCCCAAAGGAGAGGAGTGGCTCCCAGGCAGTGTCGAAGCGGTTGCCATGGTAACCACTTTTTAAATAACATTTTCTGTTCTAATTACAGAAATAATCATGCTTGATGAATAGCACACAGAGAAAAAAAAGCACACTTAAAAAGATCATCTGTGCACCCACCACCCAGAGGGGACCCCAGCTAGCATCTGAGCAGCTCTCTCTCAATGAGAGAGACAGAGATAGGGAAAGAGATAGAGACAGACACAGAGAGACAGAGATAGGGAGACAGAGAGACTCAGAGACAAACAGAGACAGGGAAACAGAGACAGACATACAGAGGAACAGAGACACCGAGAGACAAACAGGCTACAGAGGGAGGCTGATGCTGGCCACTTGTTTGGGGAGAGGTGTTGATTCACACAATAACGGGGGAGAAGGCTGGTTGGGCATTCTTCACCTCACACCCTTGCCTTGGAAAAAATGGAAACTGAGGCACCTCAAGGCAAGTCTCTGGGTCCTTCTCACCAGCCCCACACGCCAGCCACCCCTCGGTGCAGGCCTCCCTGCAGCCCGGCCCTCACCGGTCCCCAGTCGGAGACGGTCCACTGCCGATCACAGGGGGGGCCCGTGCAGTTCTTCTCCCCAACAGGCCTGGTGTTGGGGTCACACAGCTTCTCATCCTCCGAGCAGCGGATGTCCCTGGTCACCACACTGCGCTCCCCACACTTGGCAGTGCACTGCAGCGGCAGGGGGCGGGGGTGCGGAGGCGTGACGCAGGTGCAGCCACCTCCAGCCCCCGTGCCCAGCCCCCCGGCCCTTCCGGCCCCCGGGCTTGCTCCCGCAGACGCTCACCTCCGACCACTCTGACATCTCCCACTGGGGCCCGCAGGCGGGGTTCCGGCAGGTCTTGCGTTCCTCGGGCCGCACGGCCTCGGCTGCCTCGCACAGGTCGCTGTACACGGAGCTGTCGAAGCCGGGCGAGAGCATCTTCCAGCAGCGCACGACGCGGAACTGGTAGCCCTCTCCACACGTGCGGGAACACTCACTCCAGCTGCTCGTCTCCCACCTGCCCCGGGAGTGGATGGCCTTCAGTGACCCCCAAGTGACGGCCAGGACCCCATGCAACCCACACCCCCAGAGACAACACAGCTCCTCCCTCCCTCCCTCCCCCATGTGGTCCAAAACCGCAACAAGCTAAGCCAGATAGGAGGCTGGCAAGGCCCTAGGGTGCGGGCTGGGCCATGACGGCCCAGGTGGTCTTCAGGGAGCACCTTGGCAGGGCGGTCGTCGGGTGCCCTGAGCATGCACTCAGCCTTCCTTCCTGCCCCTTCGTGCCTTGCTGTGTCACACAGGTGGCTGTGCCCCATGGGACTCTGGCAAGGGTGGAAGTGAGCAGAAGGCACATTTCTGGATCCGCGTCCAGAAAGGGGGCCTGGCCAGCATGCTGGGGAAAGACCTCTCGTTCTCCTCAGCCTCAGCTGGGTGGGTTGTGATGAGACCCTGAAGCCTTCCAGGCAGACAGACTTGGAATAAGAGGTGCAAAGCTGATGGGCTCTGAGAGGAAGGACCACCCGGGGCTGGCCTTAGCAGCATTCTGGGGACCCTAAGTGTTCTGCCCATCCCAGACGGGAGCAAACGTGCAGGAAGGGGGAGGCCTGGGATGGAGCAGGCCAGAAATGCAGAGGCAGAGTGTCTGTGCTCAGGGAGCAGGAGGGCTCGGCCTCTGAGGAGCATGTGAGCCTTGTGGGGGGAGGCCGGCACTCTTAGGCTCCTCTGGGGACCCCACCTGTCTCTAGGGGTAGTGTGCACTCAGCGCTCAGTGTGACTGCATCCACAAGGCAGGAGGCGAGGCCCAGAGGCCAAGAAAACAGGCCACCCACATCCAAGGGACAGCCAGCAGGCATGGAATCGCAGCAATCCCTTCAGGCTTATAAAAATCCTGCATGCGCCAAGTAGGCCTGGTCGGGCAAAGATAGCGCTAGAATATAGAGTAATGTGGAGAATGGTTTCTAAATCTACGGTAAGCATTTGTTGAGCACTTACTGTGTACAAGGCACAGTGACAGATTAAACTGCAACTCCTGGAAAGACTCAGGTCTCTGAGGGGTGAGCTCTCTGCCCCTCCTCGAAGGGCCCCCACGGCCCTGCACACAAAGCACCTCTAAGGGGCAGGGGGGTAAGTCTGACTGCTCCTGTGGGCAGAGCCCCGCATGCCCCCTGCCAACACCCCACCCAGGGCCACCGATGGCAGGTACCTGGGCTGGCACTCCCTCCCAGCGCAGAACTCGTGGACAGGCTCAGGACGGGTGAGAGCGTCGCAGTAGCTGTCGTCCACCTCGACGCCATCGTAGCGGACACACATGGCGTACGTGGACATGACCCCTGGGTTCAGGACAGGGGAGGGCCTGTGAGCCATGCCGGCGCCTGGGAGGCCAGCAGACAGGCCACAGGATTGGAGCAAGTCACCTGACCTCTCAGCCCAGCTTTCTGGCTTAGGGATCAGTCACAGCTTGTGGAACTGCGGCATGAGGGCAGCATTGTGGGTCTGAGCTGTGCCAGTCTCAGCTCTTCTCTCTCCACCCCTACCCCGCCCCACCCAACCCAGGCCGGGCCACCAGTTCCCATGTCACAGAGTCCGGGCTTTGGGTTAGCCCAACTGGCCCCCATGGAGGTGCAGAGGCAAACACAGCCAGGTGGCCCCCATCACCAGGCGTTCAGCAACCACCCAGTGACAGGCAGGCGGGAGTGAAACCTGACCGCTCCCGCCCCGCCAGCCTCCTCAGAGATCATGGTGGGTGTCCGGGCCCTCCCTCCACTCTGTGGCATGCCCCAGTACTCAGCAAGCATCATCCTGAACTTACTTTTTTCAAAACAGAGCCTCATTCTGCGGCCCCGGCTGGAAGGCAATGGTGCAATCACCTCGGCTCACTGCAACCTCCCGCTCCCAGGTTCAAGCAGTTCTCCTGCCTCAGCTTCCCAAGTAGCTGAGATTATAGACACCTGCCATCATGCCCAGCTCATTTTTGTATTTTTGTAGAGAGTGGGTTTTACCACGTTGGCCAGGCTGGTCTGGAACTCCTGGCCTCAAGTCATCCGCCCTCCTCAGCCTCCCAAAGTGCTGGGATGACAGGCATGAGCAACCATGCCCGGCCTGAACTTTCTTTAGTCATCACTGTGTGCCTGTCCTTGTTGGTGCCCCGTGCTCTACAGTGGGTGATGGGCACTTAGCAGTGCCACTTCCCTGACCACACCCCCCTTTCTGCTTCTATCCTTCCCCCTGCATCCTTCCCTGGCACCGAGCTGCCACACAGGCCCAGCTCCCTGCCCAGAAGGAGGGCGATTCTGGGAGAGCCAGCAGCAGTGGGAACAGGCTTGGGGTGGGGTTAGGGTTTGCTGCTTCTGCTGTGCATGTGTGCGTGTGTGTGTGGCCTCGGGAGACAGACCCAGCCTTCTGGGATGTCGGGCATCACGGAACGGTCTTGGCTGCGGCTGCCAGTTCCCCCAGAAGGAAATCGGTTTCCCCATACCCAGAGAGCCCAGCCACCCAGTGGCGCGTGTCTGCGGCCAGCGGCTCCTGCCTCTCCAGGCCCCAGCCCTGGATGGAACGAGACAGCCTGGGAAGCAGCTGACAAGGGATTTTTTCTTTTTTCCGTAAAGGACGAGCCAGGCTGCGATCACAGTTCCTCTCCCGCCAGAGCTGGGCCGTGCAGCCTTTAGCCTTCTCTGAGGGGGAGGCAGGCTTCCCGGCCAGATCTGCTTGGAATGTTCCAGGCCTCAGAGACACCCGCTCTGGGGCCCAGGGAGGTGTGGGGCTGGGGACTTGCAGGCCATCGCCAAGTGCCTGGTTATTCATTTGCTCCCCATTATGGAGAGCAGGCCTTGGTCAAGAGAGACCGGAATCCAAGTCCCACCTCAGGGCCTCCCTGGGGTGATGTGACCATAACCAGGCTCCAGCCCCAGCTTGCTCCTTCCCAAAATGGGAACCTTCCAGAGAGCCTGTGAGACTCAAATACCAGGACATTTTTTCTGGGCACCCTCTTCATGACACCCATCTCAAAAACGACACTTTTCAACCCCCTGAGCCACAGAGCCCCTCCTGGAAACAAAAGAAAGGGGAGTATGAAGCCGGGGGACTGTGAGATCACTGTCCTCACCCCAGCGCCCTGGAGCCCGAAGGGCAGCAGAAACCTCCGCCTGTGACCGGACCCGAGGCCGAAATCACGCCCCTCTGTTGCTGTGGCTGCCAAAGAGCATCTTCAAAGAAAAATCTAAAAACAAGCTTTCCCACCGTGGCCGGAGCTCGGGGCAGGCTGATCCGCCCCACCGATGGAAGTGTCCCTTGCCTGGGTTCTTGCGAGGCACAGGATGGGGAGCAGAGACTCCGCATGGGACATCTGCACAGACACAGCCTATGCAGACCCTGATCCTGTTATTTCTGCCCAGTGCCATTCAGCACCTCCCATGGTGACAGGGAGCTCCCCCTCCCTCCTGGCCTTCCTTTCTCTGTCTCTGTCTCTGTCTCTCACACACACTTACACAGGGTGTCTCATTTCCATTCCTGAACAGCCTCCTCTAAAGCAGAGCTTCCTTCTTCCCGAGCCAAAACCTGCCTTTTTGATTTCCTGTTGTCCTCCACCCTGCTGCGCCGTGGGCCACCCTGCACAGTCCCAGAGCAGCCCCCTCCCCGCCTGGGGACATCCTCCACACAGGGCTGCCCATCAGGCCTCTCGCCACAGGCTGCCTAAGCCTGCAGACGTCTTGTGCAGCATCCCCTCCCCAGCCAGCAATGTGTCTGCGAGGAATCACAGATGCTTGCAGACACTTAGTGACAACGCCCACATGCTTGGAGTCCCCAGGCCAGGGTGTGTGGAGGAACTCAGGGCAGGTCCAACACAGACTTGGCAAAGCAGATCCCCCTGCGGACACCCCACCACCATGCTCAGCTCCCCTCGGGGCCTGCCCGGAAGGCAGGTCACACAGCTCACCTCCGAGGCCAGCTGCTTCTGGGTGCGCTGGAAGTCATAGCCTGCATCAGGGGGTGGCAGCCACCTCCACCATGGCGGCACCCATCAAGTTCTGACCATGAGAGGCTATTTCCTTTTTTTCTTTAGACAGAGTCTCGCTCTGTCACCCACGATGGAGGGCAGTGGTGTGATATCAGCTCACTGCAGCCTCCACCTCCCGGGTTCAAGCAGTTCTCTGCCTCAGCCTCACGAGTAGCTGGGATTATAGGTGCCTGCCACCATGCCCAGCTAATTTTTGTATTTTTAGTAGAGACGGTGTTTCACCATCTTGGCCAGGTTGGTCTTGAACTCCTGATCTTGTGATCCACCTGCCTCAGCCTCCCAAAGTGCTAGGATTATAGGGATGAGCCACTGAGCCTGGCCCGAGAGGCTACTTCTTGTTTTATATTGATCCCCACAACCCACCTGTGAGATAAGTACATGTCTCAGTTCACCTGTGGAAAACTGAGGTGGAGAGCGGGGGAGATTTGATGATTTGCCCGTGGTGTGGTCAACCAGGCGGGGCAAGCCTGGCCAATCCAGGTGCCCACAGTACTTGCTTTTCCCTCCAGAATGCCAGTTGCACGGGCAAACACAGCATGCCCCATGGCTATGCCCTGCTTGGGGGCCTTACAACAGAGGCCTTTCTTCAGCCCCAGAGAGCCAAGGCCAGTGCCAGCAGCGCCTGCAGGGCCGCTCCGCCCTCCCTCTCTCAGGCCCACCTCCTGAGATGCCAGCAGGGCTGCTCAGGGTGCGGCCAAGCTCAGACTGCCCAGCTGCCTGGCATCCTCACTGGCCAGAGACTGCAAGGGCATCGAAAGCCCGGGCAAACGGGGGATACCGGGGTGGGGCCAGGAGCATCAAACCTCTTGAGGGGCCACTGGGTGTCATCTACATGCAAACATGATGCCCAAGAATAGATAAAATGTGGCCTCAGAGCGGGCACGGGGGCTCTCCCTTCCGCATGTTCTCCCACCAATGCCCCCGCAGCCGGGTCCTGGTTTGACATCTGACCTTGCAGCGTCCCCCAGGGGAAGGAACCAGAGCGGGCAGAGGCAGCCCCAGCTCCCAGCAGCTGTGGCCAGCATCTCAGGGCGACGTGGCCGCGCAACCAGGCGGCTGTGGGTTCAAATCCCAGCTCAGCACTTACTAACCACACGCATCTGTCTGTCCAAGCACCACCGAGGAGGGTCTTTTCTCCTCCGAACTCCTCCCCTGCTGGTGAGGTCCTAGAATTTGGCCACTTCCCTTTGTCATAGATCATAGGAGCCTATGACTCTCCTCCTATGTTTGCTGGGAACAAAAGTAAAATCCCCGCTGCCTGAGATTTCTTACTTTTAACCCAAAGGATGTTTGCCCTAACAAAACATGGTATCGCTGGCAACAGCAAGGGACCATTGGTGGTGGCCTGGATGACCCCCGGGGGCCTGGGCCTGACCACGATCTAGCCCACTGTGAGAATGAGGATGGCTTCACCAGGAACCCAAACTCCTATCACGCCACACGGCTCCTAAGTCAGGAGGCCACCAGACAAGCACCCCGAGGGCAGTCTGGGGCTGCAAGCTAGTGGGCGGGCCCCACAGCCCCGGCCCGCATCCATGGAAATGGACTCAGGGCAGTCACTGCCCCTTGGCACCCATGGCACCCGGGACCAGTACCTGTGGTGCAGGTGGCACTGCAGGGTTCGTGGGACGAGAGCTTCCACCGGTACATGTCTGCGGGACTCACGCCTTGCTTGCGCGTCTTGGGCCTGGTCCTGAAAGCAAGATCAAGCAGAGAGGGTGATGAGAAACTCCAGGCCTCCCTGGTGGGCACCGGTGTTTCAGGCCAGTGAGTTTTCACTGGAGGGCATGTTCGCCAGACGCACACACCTGTCCACCTGCAACAGTCAGAGTCCCCACTGTCTGAAGTAGAATGGGTGACGCACCCACGGAGAGACACATTTTACAACTGAACAGACACTGGGATTTTTTCCGTGTCAGTAACTGCATGGGAGCTGCCCAAGCTCCTTCCGGCGGGTGGCCTGAGAATTTGGGGCCCCCAGCACCGTAGCTGCTCCCCGAACACACGCAGGCTTCTCACATCAGCTAGCGGGTTCCTTCTTCCCACCCGGGAGGGGACCTCAGAAGGTGTCTTATGTGCTGAGAATGTTCCAGAGTTCTCTCCTGTCCCCTCCTCCAGCTGGGACTCCGATGGAATAGGGGACACTAGGCATCCAGCCTCCAATTATCAAAATTAAAAAGCTCAGCCGCTGGCAGGGGCGTGGCCACAGCCTACAGAGCAATTTGGGTTGGCGACGGCTGCACAGACCCGCTGGGGTTGGGGGAGGCCCGCTGGGTCCCAGCCAGCCCCCAGCTATGATTCTTGGCTAGAGCCTACGCAGCCGAAGCCAACTATTGTTAGGACTGTTTTCCTCTTTGAACCAGTAGGTGTGCCTGGGCCCAACCTCCACATCCAACATGCGGGCTCGTTCTGGACTTGGCAGGGGAGGAGGGAAGCAGAGGCGGCAGCTCCATAGGTCAGCCTCTGCTCCTGGACGCCGCTGTGGAGTCTTGCTGCCCCCGGCCAGAGGAGGGGCGATGGCGAGCCGGCCCTGTGGACAGCAGGTCCTTTGGGCCTCAACTTCCTTTTTAAACTGGACAGTGCAGCAGGTAGCATTGCCCCACTCCACTTTCCTCTGCGCCCAGAGGGGCTGACTGGAGATGATCCCGAGCTGCCACACGTCACGGGGCTGAAATGTGGGCCAGGCCACAGGTCCTTCTTCCGGACCTTCAGTCCCCAGGGGGTGGCCAGGCTTAGAGTATTACATTCGGAAGGGCTTTCTGATGACTCTGTGATAGAACGTGGGTTTGGATTGAACGGGGAGTTTACAGTTTGTCAGGCAAGTGGGTGAGGATTGCTCTTCCGTTTCACTTGGGCTGGAGTGGGAGGAGGCCAAGGCCAAGCAGAACTTTTAGGATGACCGTTGCCTTGACCGCACATCTGAGACCCCAGAAGTAATCTGCCCACAGGAGCTTCCACAGCGAATTCACCAGTGTGGCTCCCTAAGCTGAGGAAGGGGGAGGGGGAGTGGGAGGAGAGGGATGGGGACCAAAGCCGGCGGGGGCCAAAGCCTCCCTCCCCTGGGAGCTTCACGCCAGGAGTCTCTTCCAGCCCATCACAGGTTTCAAGGGGAAGGTTCTGGAAAGAGCTTTCTCCTCCCTCTTTAAAAATTAGAGGCAATGTTAAAATGGGGGTGGGTGGGGGGTTTCCCAAGACCCTGTCATCTCAGAACAAAATTCCCTGGAAACCTGGAAAGCTGCCCCAATGGGGGCCACTCAGAGCACCCAGATGGGGATGAGTAAGTCCTTTTAGGGAAGGGAGGACCCGGAAGACCGACCCCTAACGCTTGATTCAGAAAAACGCTGAACTGTGCTGACCAGGTCCCCACCAACTTTCAACAGCTTTAAATTCTCCCCAAAAACAAAAAGAAACAGAAAGATCCCCCCCACCCCCACCCCAGGGGACGCTCCGCCATCTTTATCTCATTACATGCTCTGAGCCAGCAGGCAGCGTGACTCATGCCTGACTCAAGAGAGAGCGGACCTGGTTCAAAATAACCCTTTGGATTTTAAGCACCAAAGGTATTTCTGGAGGGGCTGCCCACACACTTCGCAGCAGCACGTGTAGGGCAGAGCAGATGCAACTCTTGAACATAACCCTGCATATATTTGCACAACAATGCAACGCCTAGCGGGTTCCGTTCCTGGGAGTAGCACCAAGGAAGCGGAACACCCAGGAAATCGCTGAACCACCAACCCTTCGCTCGCCTCCATCTGGAAGGAAGACACTGCCCCTCTCAGCTGTGAAAGTCGGAGCTGCTAGACTGGGGCTGGTGACGGCTGTGGAGTCGGCGCCAGGGTGCTCCGGACCGCCTGTCACTCCTCGGGGTCCTCGGCCCAGCTGCCTGGCCAGACACAGGCTCCCGGGTTCCCCAGGCAGGAGAAGCTCTGAAGCCACCGTGTCTGTTTATAAATGGGCCGGAAAGTGCTCTGTTCTCCTCTCCCCGACAAGGCTGCGGAGAGGGACTCCAGTCTCTGTGTCTCAGAAGCCTGTTCTCAAAGTGGGAGTCTGGTGACAGGGGCCCCTCCCTTGATTGTCTGAAGCTTTTCTGGAAAGATGAAAATAGCCTTTCCTTTCTGGGCTGCCCCTTTGATTTTGCCTTCCCTGAGCAGACACGACTTCCTGTGTTTGGACAACTTAGCCGCAACCTGGCTATTTTGGCCTGGTGGCTTCCCCGCCGCCTCCCCCTGCCTTTATGCCTCCAGACCACCTCTGGTCCCGGGCGGCAGCATCCTTTGATAGCAGGCCCCGGGGAGCAGCGGTATCTCAGCAGCCGGGGCCTTTCTGAGTGCTGACAACCTAGCTGATCGATCCCCGAGGCCCCGACAGGCACTGAAATCCAATACATCCCAGGGTGGGGGACTGGGAGGGGAGGGTAAGAGTCAACCAAGGTGGGGCAGGAGAGATACTTCACAAAGCGGCCTGATGATGCAAAAGCTTGCGCCACGACCCTGGCCTGAGGATCACTGACTATCTGAGCTAGTGGGCCCTGTGGGCACCCCCTGACAAGCCCCTCAATGAGAGATGGGGAAACTGAGGCCCAGAGGAAGGCAGAGATGCTCAACTCACACAGTGCCCATGCAGTAAGCCAAATTGCACAGCGGGGCCTCAGTGCCACTCTGATAAACTTATTCAGAGGGATGTGACCGTCAGAGAGCTGGCCTCCCCCACCCAGGCGAGGGGTCCTGAAAGGTGCCCCTCACTGCTGCCACTTGGAGGCTCAATTTTCTACTGAGAGCTTCGACTTACTTACGGGAGGCCTTACCGTGTGCCTCACACACCAAACACCAGGTAACGCCCTGGACCGCCCTGGGAGGTGAGGAGGGCCCACGCTGAAGACGCAGAAACAAGACGGCCAGCCTTGAGAAGCCCCGTTCCCATGGGCAGGCACTTTGCCCAGGACCCCCTCTTAGACTCAGACACTGCACCCAAAGCAAGGCCCGGCCCTCCCTGCCCAAGTCCCAAGAACCAGCCAGAGGCCCACCCACCTAAGGCTTTGAGCATGCCAGGGTCAGGGTGAGCAGACAGCCCTGTGCCACCCCTGGGGGAAGAGGGGCAGCCAGAGGAGGCTCCAAGGCCACACTCTGTTCACATCTGCAAAGCAGGGTTTCCACCCAGAGCCCGCTGGAAGTGCCCAGGACATCCTCCCTGCACCCTGCAGCCCCCGGCATCTCAGAGGCCTCAGAGAACAGTTTGAGAAAAGAGGCAGGCATCCCCTGGGCACCCGTAGCTCACCAGGGAGGCTGGCTTTGTTGCTCCGGTCCCAGGAGCTGGATGGATGGGAGGGTGGCCCCAAGCCATGTCACCTTGAGAGTAACCCCTGAATCTCCCATCAAACCCCTGAATCTCCCATCAAACCCCTAAGCCCCAAGGAGATGCGCTCAGCTCTCCTGGCCCAGGCTGGTTCAGTTCCTGCTTGGGTCTAAAGTCAAGGGGCTTGGGATGCACCCCAGAAAATAAAACCAAACCAACTCCAGTGGGCCCGTGCCTGCCTCCATCCCCCACTGATCACCTGTTTAAAATAGCCCCCAGGCGCAGGCGAGCTGCTGAAAGTGTGGGGACCTGCAGGGGTGGCCACGCTGTATCTGGGGGCGTTGGCACCAGGGACTGTGCTCCAGCAGGGACACGGTAGGTCTGGAGTCACCCTGCTCACAGCTGGTCCCTGACCTAGCGAAGCTCCCAACCTCAGGCTCCTCTAGGTCTAGCTACAACTGCTCAGGCATCCCCGGCTGTGACCGTCCAGGCGTCCCCAGCTGTGACCGTCCAGGCGTCCCCAGCTGTGACTGTCCAGGTGTTCCTGGCTATGACTGTCTAGACATCCCTGGCTGTGACCGTCCAGGCATCCGCGGCTGTGACCGTCCAGGTGTTCCTGGCTATGACTGTCTAGGCGTCCACAGACATGGCTGCCCATGTAGCCCCAGCCGTGGCCTTGGCTCTGGAGGCCTGGCCCCAGGTGGACTCCCTCGTGGCCCTCGCCAACTGCAATGCCAGCCTTGCTCTTCATCCCTGATTTCAGGGTCTTTCCCCTCATGGAGGAACCCACTAGATCCTCTCCAGCCTTTGCTGAAGCCTGGGGCTGAGCTGCTCTGCGCTTGGGGAGCTGTCTAGAGCCCCGCCTCCTCCTAAAGGTGTGTGTGCCATGACTGTCCAGACTTAGAACTCAGGGTCCCCAGGTCCTCAGGCTCTGTGACCTTGACCTCAAGTACACCACACTGCTCACCCTCTCCAAGCCCACAGTGGCCACCCCACCACTACGGGTGGGTGTGGCAATGACATGTGTCCATGCATAAAAAATGCTGAGCTCTGTCCCTGGCTCACAAGGCATGCTCAGAGCTGTTAGCTTCCTGCCTCCCTTCCCTGCATCAGCTGCACACACAGGGCTCAGCCCTGACCCTAATCCACCGACATAACCTTTGGGGAAAGCTCACTCCAGCTCAGGCCTCTGACTGTGTGCTCAGATCCACGGGGCAGCGAGTGGAGGACCCCAGGAAGATGGGGCCCTCTCTCCTCTACCTCTAGGTCCCCAGACCCTCTGGCCAGACGCCCTGCAGCAGGGCCTCAACTTCGACCCGGCCTTGGCCCCGTCCTGCCCCCGAGGGCCCCGGACAGGGCTCAGGGAAGTGCCTCCTACCTGGCCTTGTGAGTCCTGTTCCCTGCCCAGGTGGGCAAGCTGCTGCTGACGTTGGGGAACGGGGCCTCGGAAGAGCTGTTAGCAATCCTGTCGCTGCTCAGCTCCAGGTAGGACCCGTTGAGCAGGTAAGTGCCAGCCCCCTCATTCTCCTCATAATCCACGAAGAAGCTCTCGGCCAGGGAGCTCCGCGAGGTGCCCTGAGCAAAGATGCTGTTCACGGTGTCGTTGAGGGTGAAGTCCTTCGAGTCAGCGCTTGCGCCCAGCAGCTGGTCAGAGATGGCGTTCGCCGAGAAGAACTTCTGGGAGACGAAGTGGGTGTCGACCTCTTGCTCATCCTTGTCCCCGGTGAGAGTTGTCCCCGTGGCGTTGCGGTCTAGAGAGGAGACAGGTGGCCCAGCCGTGAGCGCCCCAGCCCTGGGGGCAAGGCCTGGGGAGGGGACCTGGACAAGGGGGCTGGAGACACCAGGATGAACCAAGAAGCTCCCAGAAGGAGAGCTTCTGCCCAACTAGAGGACACGATTCGGCCGAGATAGAGGCATGAGGCCCACTTTGACCATCTCTTGCCGACGGGAGTTCAACCGTCTTCTGCAGTGGACTGAACAGCACCCCCCAAAACTCATGCACCCTCTGGAACCTCGGAGTGTGACCTTATCTGGAAATGAGGTCACTGTAGGTATAATTAGTTAAGACTCTTGAGATGACATTATCGTGGACTCAGAAATATCCCTATCGGAAGAGGACACACAGAGACACGGTCACAGAGGAGGAGGCCTGTGAGGACAGAGGCAGAGGCTGCAGTGACACGGCCACAACCAAGGGCTGCCTGAGACCCCCGAAGCTTTTGCTCCCTGTGTCGTCCAAGCCCAGGTGAGACCTGGTGCTGGCCGGGTGAGTGACGGGGTGGGCAAGAGGTCAGACCATCCCAGGTTTGACTCCCAGCTCCTCCACAGTGGACTGCGTGACCTGGCCAAGCCACTCCCTCTCTCTAAGCCTCAGTCTCCCCATCCGTCAAATGGGGATAACCACATCTACCTCGAAGAATGCATGGACTGAAGGTCCTGTCCCAAGTCCTTAACCCTGCGCCTACCCAGAGGACATCTGCAGGCAGCTGTTAGGAACCTCCTCTGCAGGTTTGCAAAGGGCCTGAGACCCCTTCCCCAAGACCCCTTCCCGGGCAGCCTCCCGAGCCCCTCCCATGCCTCCCTCCTCCTGGTTACCTCGGAAGCCCTTGCCCCTGGGGGGCCCCTCGCAGGCCCTGCCGCCGGCCTGTTGGCACACCTCGTTGGTCTCCTGGCCCCGGCTCGGGCCCAGCTCCATCTCCAGGCCAGGGTGGCCGAACAGCCGGTTGTCCAGGCCCAGCTGCTCGGAGGAGGCCAGGCCATACAGGGAGCTGTTGTGCGGGACGAAGCCCATGAGCCTGGCCCCGTCCAGGCCCTGGCTCTCAGAGCTCTCGGAGGCGGGCTCGGAGAAGCCATAGTAGACAGGCTGCGGGCGGTGCTCGTGCGGAGGCTGAAGCAGCGTGTACTCGAAGGTGATAGACGGGCTTTTGCCGTTCTGGTTCCACACCTAGGGACAGAGACGTGGGACCCCAGCCCCTCCTCACTGTGTCCCGCCCCTTCCCCACAATCCCCTTCCGCCAGAGCTATAGAGAGCATCCCTTCTGGGACTCAGCTGAGCCCCCCAGGGAACCACACTGCCTCGCCCAGCCCAGTGCAGTGTCCCCACCCCAGAGGCATCCAAGTGAAAGCTTGGGAACAGGGCGGGGGCTGGGGGACTGTGGTGTGGGGAATGGCCCACCCTGGGTTCAGGCAGCAAGGGGCATGCTGTATGCAGAGATTGTAAGTAATGAAGCCAAGTAAAGCCCGGCCCGCATCACCTTCTCACCACGCGCTGGATCCCTAAGTAATCACAGCAGCCCTCTCCCACCACTCTCCAACCCAGAGCCCCTCCGCGCAGGTCGACGTGGGAATACAAAGACCCAGGCTCTGCCTCAGTTCCAGACAGCACTGAAGGCTCATCCCCGCTCCAGAGCTCCCTGTGGGATGGGCTAAGGCCGCTGTCAAGACCTAGGGGCAGCCCGGCTTCTCCCTCCGCAGACCCCCACCGCCTCTCTCTCTAGGAGTTGCTGTTTCCAGAGATTTCAGCCAAAACCAGCTGGTGTCAGGAGCAGGCAGGCCTGGGACGCCGACTCTAGAATGGGATGTTGGAGCAGGATCACCTGCTGGCAGAGGCGATGAGGGCCCACCTGGGCGTGCCTGGAGCGCAGAGACCCCCAGAAGACGGCGATGCCGTTGTGAAAAGGTTCACCGCCAGGGAACCGGGAGGGGGTGCCAGGAGAAGGAAAGGCACTGCTGGTGTTTGAGAGCTGGCTGGGGCAGGGGCAGGAGTTAAAAAGTTATAAAGGATTGTGGAAGTAAAGGACCCCAAGAATGGAAGAACAGCACGGAAAGGCCGAGGCTGAGGGTTCGTGCAGCAGCAGAGAAAGACAACCCTGTCCTGCGTCGGAAGGTGGAATAGGGAGAGGCGCCTGCGAGGAGCAGGGAGCGCGCTCCTCCCAACTCTGCTGGGCCTGCTATGCCCAGGACAGAGTCCAGCCAGAAGAGGGGAACCTTAAGACTTGGGGTATGGGGAAAACTTCAAATCACAGACATCCCAAGCCTTCGGGGCCTGAAAAATGGGCCTGTCCCATTCCTCCCTGTTAAAGCCAGCACTACCCCAGCCTGAAGATGACACAGAGACCTCTCCTTCACAGCCACACGGGCCTCCCACGGAACCTGGCCTGGCCCCGTCTCCTGGCCACCAGACTGGTAGCTTGGGCCAAGTCACATTCTCACCCAGTCAGGGGAGTCCTGAGAGAAGGGGCTAGACACCAGTGGACTGCCGGCCCATCCTCTCACAACAAAGAATTTAGCACACTGGTGAGAACTTTGGGAGAAGTGCTACCACGCTACTAGGTGGCACTTGGAAGCATGGAGAAGGCGGGGGCTGGCCTATAGGATGCAAGACGCGCCACCCCACTACATCCACATTTAACTCAATGTTTAGCCCCTACAATAACCAGACAGACCCTGGAGGGCCTGCCACCGAGTCTGGATGCGTGCTGCACCCTCCACCAAGCGGCGGCCTCCGCTGCCGGGGCGTGACCACTGAACTGTCTCCCCTAGAGCAGATCAGCTGGGCCTCATGTTGATCCTAAGCGACCACTGACCTGGAAAATATATTATTTTCTATCCCCGTCAAGAAGGTGCACCAGAAACTGTTTCATTCACCTGGGGTGGACAGCTGTGTACATTTACAGTCGTGACCCGGGCTGCACTTACGCTCCTGCTCCCAATTACAATACACAAGAAAGGCATCTGGACCACGCCAAGCACCGGACATTGGTCCTCTGTGCTGCTGGTACCATGCTTATCAGATCAGATGAGGTCTTGGTAAAGCGCCTGTCTTCCAGAGGAGCAGAGATTCAACCCTGTGAAGATTCAGCAGCCCCCGACATTAGCGGAAATTTCAGGGTTCAGTGGGCTAGGGTGTGCCAGACATCTCTGAGAGGAAAGGAAAAATGATGGTATCTCATACCCCCCACCCATGGAGAATAATTCTGGAGCCAGCAGACTCCACATCCAAGAATATCTGTTCAATTCCTGTGCTGGGTGACATTAAAAGCTGCTCCTCTGGGTAGAATCCTGCGTGAAGGGGGCCCCGTGGCAGGTCCAGACTGTGAGGTAAGCAGCCTGCCACGTGGGTGGTGTGACGTGGCAGATACTATAGGAATAGAGATATCTGTGGTGGGGAAAGACGTCAGATGGAATTTCTGGAAAGCCCGTAGGGAAAGCATAACATAGAACCCTATGGTTCTGGAGCAACGCCATCTGCAGCAAATAAATATACATCATTTGCAAAAAATTCTGGCATGCTGTGAGGCCCTACTAGAGATGGAACACTGGGGCTACGGGACATCAGGCGACCCACGCAGCCAGAGCTGCCTCCGACGTGAGTCCTCTCAGCTCCGCCAGCAACAAACCATCGTAAGATGGGAGTGTTACGCCAGGGCGAGGCACAGCCAGGACCAGAGGGCACGAGACAGCTGCGTCAGCAAGAGACCCAAGCTCCCCCGTCCAAGACTCTGGCTCCCACATCGCCTTTTTAGCTCACAGCTATGGCTGTGTGGGGCTGCTCTTATGGCGAAGCGAGATCAGAGAAAAATGGCCAAACTTGATTCAGAGCTGGGCCGGCTTGGTATGGGGGTTCAAGCTGGAAGCGGGAGTGACTTAACTAAAGCTCCATCCAGGGCAGGCCTGGAAAAAGAGCAGTGACGGAAAATCCCCCGATGGGCTTCGGGCAGTGTGTGTGATGTCGGCATCCGTGTGATGGAGGCAGAGCAGCCCGAAATGACAATATTAACTGAATCGTGGGCAGTGGCAAATTGCTTGGCTGGCTGGTCAAGAGCCTGGATGGGACGGATCAAAGACTGGGGACCAGGAGGTCTGGAGGAGGTACCTGTGGTTGGATCTAGGGAGTGGGCATAAAGGACAGAGGTCTTCATTTGTTAATTCGTGCTGGGAAGCATCACCATGAGAGAGGCACTGAACACCCCAGCAGAAGACAGAATGGCCTCGCCCCTGGACACGGGCTGGTCTCTGGCATCGGTCCCCCTGCTGCAGGCACAATGGGCGAATGAATCAGCGTGGTGGAAGGGAGGGAAACTACGTGTCGCCCCAGCACACGGCTTCTCCCGCACCACAGCCACTGCAGCTCCTTCCACTCCGAACGTCCAATCTCTGGCACCCACACTAAGCCTGTCAACAGCACCACCTCTCAAGGAGGCCACTCAGCTACTAGGTGACAAGCTAATCACATCAGACCCCATCCATCCCGGACGGGGAAGTGCTGAATCTGGTCCTAAACAAAAGTTGCCTGTCCTGCCCTGAGAACCTCAGCCAGCCACAATGCCCAAGGCCTCACAGAGCATTTGATTGACCCAGACAGGGTACCGACAACATGGCATTGGACAGAGACCTACTTGATAGCAGAGGGGGTGCCACAGTGGGCACATGACAGTGAGAGCCACGGGGCATCCGTATAGTGCAACATCTGGAAACACTAGGCCTGATGGAGCCATGGAGGGGAGGAAACCACGGTGCCAGCTGAGGCAACACACCTGTGAGGATGGGGCATCCCCCGTGAGGCACTACCCACAGAAATCAAAGGATTTTCCTTTACTGCAGTTTTTCCGGGCCAGCCCTGGACGGAGCTTTAGTCAAATAGATCCCACTTCCAACCTGCACACTCACACCAAGCCGCCCCAGCTCTGAATCAAGTTGTGAGCTGGAAAGGGGATGTGGATGCCAGAGTCTTGGATGGGGAGTTTGGGCCCCTTGCTGACACAGCTGTCTCATGCCCTCTGGCCCTGACCATGCCTAGTCCTGGTGCTGTGTGCCCAGTATGTGGACGACATGGGTCTGGGAAGCAGGAGGGGAGGTACAGTAGCTATCATTCCTAGCCACCACTTGGAGCTCTTGTGTTCCCCATCCCTGCAGCCCTGGGATCTGTGGTCTAGAGGCCTCGGTTTGTACAGCGGGGATGTTTCCATCAAAAGACACAGCAACAGTTTCACGGTGCCTCAGGCTGCGGCTTCACGGGGTCTGTGTGAGCATTTTGCGCCGAGAGACCAGCAGCATGGAAAGGAGCAGTAGTCCTGGCAGGTGGTAGACCTTGATCATCAAGAGCAGAGAGGCCAGGCAAGGTGGCGCATGCCTATAACCCAAGCAGTTTGAGAGGCCAAGGCAGGAGGGTCACTTGAGGCCGGGAGTTCAAGACCAGCCTGGGCAACATAGCAAGACCCTGTCTCTATTAAAAAAAAAAAAAAAAAAAAAAAGTAGGAAAGGTGTTGTTTGACCCTGGGGCCAAAGAATCTGTGTGGCACCTGCTGATGCCCTGGGCACCTCTTGGTATCTCTTGGGCAGAGGCGCCTTGTGATGATAACTGGATGAAGCCAGCAGCCTCAGACTGAGAAAGCCGTGGAGACCAGGATCCCCTCACCAGGTAGCCACCCAGCCCCGCAGAAGTGCTAACCCAGGCTAAGGGGAAACAGAGCGTGTTGTAAAAGAAGGAAACCGTGAGCATCAGTTGCAGCCCCTACACCAGCTGCAGTTCATCCCACTGAGCTTCCTCCTGTGAGGCTCCCCCAGAAAGAAACCAACGCAAATCTAGAGGAGCTGTTCCCTGCCAAGGTAGACTTGAGCAAAGCACGTGGGTCCAAGCCGTGCAGGGGGTGGACCCCGTACCCCACCCTTCTGTGAACTGGGGTGGGCATGAGACAGTTCACAGCTGTGCCCCACCCCGGGCATTTCCCTCACCAGAGGGAGCTGTCTCTCCCCAGGTTATGCTCCCCACAAGGGGCAAACACACCTGGTAATACACGATGCCCTCCTGCCCCAACTTGAGGCAATGTTGAACCCCTCGGGATGGGCTGAGGCCCCGTTGAGACTTTGTCACAGCTCAGCGGCTCCCTCTGTCTAGTCCCATGCCCTCCTGCCCATACCAGTGTTCCCAAGACCGCTCCTGACACTGCCCCCGCAAGCCCTCTTGCACGCAATCCCCCATCTCAGAGTCTATTTCCTGAGACCCTGACCTACAAAACAGTCCCTCCAGCCAGGAGGCGAAGCCAGGTGGTCAGTCCACCTCCAGGCACAGCTCCAGGGCAGGGTCAAAGCACGAACGCAGCGATGGGTGGCCCCCATTTGATTCCGGGCTTTCTGGAAAAGCTCCTCCACCAAAAGGCAGGGTGGGGAGATGGATGAGCATCCCCTGTTAGAGACCCCTCCAGCGCAGCAGCTAAACGAAGAGCAGGCTCTGTCACCAGACGGACCTGGGTTCAAAGCCCACTCGTGCCACTTACAGTTCCATGACTGTGCAAGTCACTCACCTGTCTGTGCCCACATTTCCTCACCTACAATTCGAGGCAACGAAACCCACCACAGTGAGATCTGGAAACCCAAACAGCTCAGGTGGGGGCGGCAAGGGGGGGCTCCATCCCTGCTGTATTCCTTTGACCTCCATGAAGGCCGGCAAGCCTTGACGGGTACCACAGCTGCCCATCTTGATGTCACCTGACTTTGGTGATATGACAAGTCCTCAACATATTCTCGGTGCTGGGGAACCAAACCACTAGGGGCTCCATTTCCAGATGCTAGCCATACAACTCGCGGCAAGCCGGGCATAACAGGCCCACGCTCTCTCCTGCCCACTGCTCAGGCCCTGAGCTCCACTCCAGAAGTCCTGAGTGTCCCCGAGAGGCTGTATCAGGGGAGGGGGAGGGGCCGTCAGCACTACCTGAAGCCCTGGTACTGAGGACCCAGCACAAACACCACAGTGCCCATGGGTGGCGGAGCATGAAGCTAGGTAGGTTCAAAACCCCTCCACCGTGGGCTGGGGAGGGGTCCAGCCTCATCCTTAATGCCCCGAGCTCCCTGTGGACTTCCCAAAGAGCAGGAAATGGGCCAGCACAGAACCCCTGCTGGTCCACCGGGGAGGCTAGCTGCAGTGAATGGATGGACGAATGAATGAATGATTTCAAAAAGAAGTGGGTGAGAGAGTGGGTGGTTGAGAAAGAAGTGAATGGGTAAATGAATTAATGAATTGATGAGTGAATGGGAGCCTGTGAATGAACCAACACCTGAGTGAGTGAATGAATGAGGGAGGGAGTTAGCGAAAGAACAAGTGAATGAGTAACTGTGGTTGAACGTGAGGCCCAACCCAAGCAGTGGTGAGGCTGCCGGGCGCATGCACACAGTGGCCCTGAAGGTATCACTGGCTGGAAGCCCCACCTGTGGCCGGATTCTGGGGAAGCCGTGCCCGTGGCCCCCGTGGCCCCCGTGGCCCCCATGGCCCCCGAGGCCTGCAGCACACGCACCATGACATTCAGGCCCTGGTTGGTGGGCCCCTGCGCCACGATGTACTCAATCCCGGTCTCGTAGACATCCATGGGCCGCCGGTACTTGACCACCGTGCCAGCGATGTTGAAGTTCTTAGGGCTGTCCACCTTGTAGTTGCCATTGAAGAAGTAATAGCCAGCTTCGTCTGCAAGAGCTGGAAGGACAGAGCCGCCGGTCACATGGGCCCAGGGCTAGACTGGCTGGGGGAGGAGCCAGTGTCACCGGCTCAGAGAACCATCACCAGCCCTGCTCTCCATAACCCCAGCCCTAATGCCCCAGAGACAGGAAACTCCCATCATGGGCAGCTGGACCAGTGATTGCGGAGGCGGTGCAAATGCACGTTCCTCTCAGCCCAAAATCAATAGTCAAGGACTCGTCTAGATGCTGAATGTGACTGGTTGGGGACCCTTTTAGTCCTGTTTTTCTAGCTGCCTTTGAAGAAGCTGAGGGGCTGCAAAGTGACGAGCTCGCACTTTGTGGAGCAGGTGTGGAGCAGGACAGCCTGTGGCCTGTGGAAGGCCCGCATAAGGCAGCAGGTGTCCGGCTCCGAAGAAGACCCACTGTGTGGCCCCAGGCAAGGCACTTTCTCCAGCTTCCCCATCTGGATGATGCGGAAGGGACCTCGGTGCCCCTCCGGTCATCCACACAGAGTGGCACTGCCACCCTGACCTGGCTGGCGTGGGGGGTGCTGACCACCAGGCCCTTCCTGGGAACCTCCCTGAGCTGACTGACATGGGGAGTGCTGACCACCAGGCTCTTCCTGGGGACCGCCCCGACCTGGCTGGCATGGGGGGTGCTGACCACCAGGCTCTTCCTGGCGACCGCCGTGACCTGGCTGGCATGTGGGGTGCTGACCACCAAGCCCTTCCTGGGGACCGCCCTGAGCTGGCCAGCTCCGTCCTCTCCACGGGAGCAGAGACTTCCTGCTGTCCTTGCAGGCAGGGCTATGCTGACCCAACCTGTGCACCCAGGCCTGGCCGAGGTGCTCAATCAGGCAAGGACAGCCTGGTGCAATCTCCGTCGCCCTCTTCCTGAGGCCTGGTGGGTGGGTACTCCGAGGGCCTGACTCCAGCCTGATGGAAGCTCAGGATGGAAAGAAATGGCACTCGAAGCCCCACAGCGCCTGCTCCCCACCACCCCTGCAGGCTGGAGCAACCGCCTGGAGTTGGTGGGGTTTCTGGGTGAACTGCTTCTCCCTGGGGCCAAGCAGGATGAGAAGAGGCAGGGGACCTCCAGGGCTGGGGACGGAGGGAGGAGGCCGACCCGGCACTCGGGACACTGTCTTCCACAGGGTGTCCTTAAAGCCAGTTCCAGGAACTGGCCCGTGGGAGAATAGGAGTTCAGCTTCCAAATTCCTGATGCAACATGAACAGAGGAGCCGGGGCAATTAATTTATTATCAGGCAGACGCAACAAGCAGGACGTGTCTGCTTCAAAAACCCCCTTCACATAGAAAAGTCAGAAGATAACACAAAGTCAAGTCCAAGTCCTGCGGGTGGGAGCGTGCCAGGGCCTGGCTGTCTCGGCCCGGTTCCCAGGTATATGCCCAGGTTTCCATCTGTGGCTCTCGTCCAAAACCTGTTTCCTGACAGTAATGACCCTCCTTCCTGCAGCTTTCCCAGTACTCCGAGGCCACCCTTGGTATTTCCACGCATCTGTTTCAAGAGCGAGCTTTGCAGCCAGCTCAGAGAACGCGGAGTTTCCTGGCCTCTCCACTCTCCCAGCAAGCAAGCGACAAAGCAATCAGCCTGGCGAGAGGCCTGGCTCCCTACCTGGGCCAGGCAGCAGACCCCAGGGCGCTGGGTGGTGGAGCCACTGTCTGCAGCACAGACCTGCTGGGGCGGGGGTGCTCAGACCCCAGGGCACATATGGAGGGCTGGCCCTTAGGCTCTGGACAGGGGACAGGAGAACCCGAGGTGAGTCCCGGCCTGAAGACCTTCAACAAAGCCTCCTCTTCCAGCACCCCCTTAGGAGGTGGGCTTCACCCCACCAGTCCTGGCTCCCAGGAGGAGTGGGAGGCAGTGGGGGGGAGTAAGCCCAGGTAGTGTTGCGTTTGGGGCTGCCCCTGTGTCCAAAAACAGTGTCCCCATAGAGCCTGGGTCCCCAGCCTGCCCTGTGAAGGGCAGGGCTGAGCATGGAGCAGCTCACAGGTGTCAGCACCTGTCCACTGTGGCCCAACGGGTGCAGACACAGCACATTGCTTGGCCAATGCTCCAGCTTCACAGAGGGCCCTTCCACAATTTGTCACCAAGGATCGCTACACTCAAAATTTGCCACCAAGATGGGGCCTTACCACCCCATCCATCATGGAAATAACTCCGGAATCCTCAGGTTAGCCAACTCCCCTCCCACGGCCCAGCTTCCCAGTGGAGACTGTCTAACGGCGTGAAGATCAGCATGGGGCCCCCAAGTTGGAACCCTACCTCTGCTTCTCTGCTGCTGGTGACCTTGGACTGGCCACCTCCCTCCTCCCAGTGCCACCTTGACCTTGTCACCTCCTGAGACTCATTCCTGGAACCCCACAGGGATCTCATCTGCAGCGGACCCCAGCTTCTGCCGGTGCCAGGCTCTCAAGTGACAGGGAGCTCACTACCCAACATCACCATCCTCCCATGGTCCAGCAGCCTTGAGTTCAAGGTCTTCCATGCATAGAGGTAAAGCTGGCTCCTCTATGAGCACCCCAGCCGCACCCACAGAGCTAGCTCAAGTTCCGGCTCCTGCAGCCATGCCCACAGCACCGGCCCATCCCTGTCCTGCAGGGAGGGACCCAGGGTCAAGTGCTCCTTCTCTGCCACACACAATGCCACACAAGCAAAAGCTCAGTGAGGCAGCCGCCAGGCCCTGCACACCCACCTAGCACATCCGCAGACTTCTTCCTCTCTACAATCTGGATGTCTCGGGCGCCAGCTGGGATGTGGGTCACCAGAGAGTAACCTGGAAGCAAATGGATGACAGTGAGCCCCTCCTGATTGGAAAGGCACCCTTGGAGGCCACCCGCCAGCTCCGAGCTCCTGGTAGGTGAGCGGTGGCTGTCTAAGGGTTGGCCCACCCCCCACACCCACTTGGGTGGCTCAGCTGAGCCCTATCCTGTTGCAGAGGCTGATCCACCAAGCTGGGCACCTGCCCAGGCTCACCCCTTCCTACGAAGGCCACGGGAGGGCTTATCCCTGCCTGCCCCAGCCCCTTCCCAGGGACAGCAAAGGCCACAGGGACCTAGAACACACTGGAGGTACTGGAGCTCAGTCCCACTCTGGCATGTGTCACCCAAGAGACCCCGTGCAACCGAGGGAGCCCCAGCCAGCATCTTGCGCACATTGGCACTGCCATTTTGAAATCCTGTCTTCTCACAACACCACGGTGACATTCAAGGTTCACGAGGCTCAAAGACGTGGGTGAGAAAGAACAAGAAGAGTCGCAGATAGAATCTCCAACTCTGCCTATGCCCTTCCTAAGTGCCAGGCCCCAGGCTGGGGTCCAGATCGGGCAATGGCAGCCGGCTCAGAACCTGTCTTCAAGACCCCCAGGCCCGTGGGAAGGCAGTCATAGAGTCCTCCCAAGGGTCTGGAGGGAAGGTGCTCAGAGAAGGAGAGCATTGCGGGCAGGTGGCTGAGGGAGGGGCCCCGGGAGAAGGAGATTTTAGTACTCCCTGGGACAGGAAAGAAGGGGGTCTCCGGGTCGGAGGTTTCCTGGCGCTTGATGTCTGTTTCACTGGATCCTTCCTGGAGCAGAGGACTCTGTGTGCAACTCCCAGCCTGGGTGGGGGTGTCTCCTGCAGGCCAGCACCTGCCTGCCATCCCTCCCTCAACCCCACCACAACTACAGGTCCCTTGGATGACCTGTCCCTCACTGGAGGCACCCTTGGATGACCTGTCCCTCACTGCCAGCAGTGCTCTGGAAAACAGGCACTTTGGAGACATGGGGTAACAGGAGCTGTGACTTATAGCATTGGTTAGTTTCCGTGGCGTAAACACCCCTGCTGTGGCCAATTTCAAGCTACTGTAACCGGTCAGCTTAACTTCAAAATGCGTTTTAAAACTATTTTTTCCTTCCTCTTGGGTTTCAAGACATAAGTTTGAAGCAAGTGGCTGACGCTGTGTTTGTTTACATTACCAACATGATGTCACTGGGCATGCCACTGGGAAGAGAGGCTACAGAACACCCATAGACGGTGTCCTTGCCACATAGATAAAATAGTTATATACTCTGAGAGATCGAGGCAGGCAGATCACCTGAGGTTAGGAGTTCCAGACCAGCCTGGCCAACGTGGTAAAACCCCGTCTCTACTAAAAATACAAAAAAAATTAGCCGGGCATGGTGGTGGGCGCCTGTAATCCCTGCTACTTGGGAGGCTGAGGCAGGAGAATTGCTGGAACCCAGGAGGCCAAGGTTGCAAAAAGCCAAGATTGCACCATTGCACTCCAGCCTGGGCAACAAGAACGAAACTCCGTCTCAAAAAAAAAAAAGTTACAGACATCAAAGGATTAGGAAATGGTGACTTTGCTTTAAACACAATGTATTTAACTATAGGCTGTTGTACTTTAATTTCAAATTAGCAAGTAGCTCACAGGATTCCTGAGCATTTGATGCCCCAGCCCATCCCACAGCCCCCAGATGGGTACCAGGCATGGCTGGTCGGGGGCAGGAGTGTAGCTCAGCTGAGAGGACCCCAGGCCAGGAGCGGGCTCCCAGGGTTCACCCCCAGTTCTGCCTCTCGTGGCTGTGTGACCTGAGACGAGTTATTTAACCTCTCTTTGCCTGTCTCTGCACATTTCAGCAACAGGAATACTGCCAGTCATGTAGAGCTGTTGCCAGGCGTGAATGCGTTACCTTGTGAGCACGCAGAAGAATTAGGGGGATCGTTGGCATATCAGCCCCAGGCCCCAGGCTAAGTCCCATGAGGATGGGGCCCTATCTCTCAGGCTCACTGTGTACACAGTGCCTGACACACAGTAGGTGCCCTACGAGACATGTGCTGCCTGAATACCTGCTCTCCGTCTGCATGCCCTGGGTCCAGCAGGAGGCTGTGGGAGCAGGTTTGCGGAAGGAAGGGAGGAAAATCAGACTCCTTCACTTCATGCCTCCTATAGCGAGGCTTCCAAAGGAAAGGCCTCTGCCCACCTCACCCTGCTGGACACCCAGCACGCATTATTCACACCCCTGCCTGGCAGCTCTGCCCCAACCCTGCCCCTTGTTAGTCCGGCATGCTGGTCCCTAGGTGGCATGTCCAAGCCCCACCCTCTCCAGTGCCCTCCCACTGGCACTTCCTGGAGCCGACACACACATGCCACAGTTACCCCTCACGTGGCAGGCTGAGGCCGTTCCCTCCACCTCCAGGACACAGCCAGGTCCTCCATTGCCCTAACAGGACTGGTTCTCACCTAGACTCAACTGGCCTCACTGGGACCTTGGCAGATTATCCCACTCTGGGCCATGTTCCCCACCTGCTAAGTGGGTCTGAAGCTGCCCTGCCTTCCTCGGTCTGGAAGTTGCAGTAACGCAGTTGCATTCCTCCAGCATGTCTTCAGACCCAGAATGTGTTCAGCTGAACACCAAGCATTTTGAGTGACATCCCTCCAAAAGTAGAAGTGCTGTCCCATGCCAGACACCCACTCCCATGAGGGCTGGGCCAGAGCTGGACACGAACGTCAGACCAAATGCCCGCAGCTTAGGAAAGGGACAGGCACTGCCCAAGGGAAGGAAGGGATCTGGGCTGGGTCAGTGTGGAGCAAACAGGGGGCCTCTGAAACTCAGGCCCCAGAATCCAGCATCCCAGGGTCAAATCTCATATCCGAGTGGAGAATGGGTCTCAGGCGCCAGTTTCTCCCTTTTTAAAGTGTGGTGTTAGCCAGGCATGGTGGCTCATGCGTGTAATCCCAACACTTTGGGAGATGGAGGTGGGTGGGTCGCTTGAGGTCAGGAGTTCGAGACCAGCCTGGCCAACACGGTGAACCTCCGTCTCCACTAAAAATACAAAAATTAGCTGGGCGTGGTGGCACATGCCTGTAGCTCCAGCTACTCAGGAGGCTGAGGAACAAGAATCGCTTGAACATGGGAGGCAGAGGTTGCAATGAGCCCAGATCAAGCCACTGCACTCTAGCCTGGGCAACAGAGCAAGACTCTGTCTCAAAAAAAGAAGTGTGGTGTTAACACCTCCCTGCAGGCGGCCTCAAAAGGCAAATGTAACCCAAAGCCCGGTGCCTACTGGTACCCACAAGGTCCTCAACAAAGAGCTGCCCATTCTTGCCAGCCAATGGAGGCCCACAATCACCAGGCCAGCTCGCCTGGGCCTGGATGCAGAATCAGGTGGCCCTAGAGGGGAAGGACTTGCCCAGTGGTGCCCAGGAGGCTGCAGGCAGGAGCACACTCAGGACCCCCGATTCCCAGGCTCCTCTGCTTGGACTCCAGGGCGCGCTGCCGCCTTACCGAGGTGGGCGTTGCCCTTGCGATAGTTGCCCGTCACGTGGGTGCAGCTGCTACCGTCACCCTGGCAGACCCCACACTTGTCCAGCGTGTGGGTGGAGAAAAGCACCCCGTCACAGCCGATGGGCTGCAGGAAAGGAGAGGGAGAGGCTGCTGGGAGGGCACTGTGGCCAGGCCCGGGGCCGCCACTGCCTCCCACGGGCGGGCGGGCAGTCGGCGCAGTGAGACCGGTGGTACTTTTGCTACAACGTTTAACAACCTCACATTTTCCAGACACGCAAACCCCTCGCAGGTCGCTGAGCTTGCAGGAGGTGCCGTCGCGGGCGGGGACCATGAGCTGCCGCTGGCCGTCCACGGTGGTGCAGTGCAGGTCACATGGCTTGCTGGAGATGTGGACATAGTCATCTGGTGGGGAGACGAGGCAGAAGGTCTCAGGTGGGCTGCACGGTGGGATTCAGGGGACTTCCTTCTCTTTCCTCTGAGACAGCTCCCATTGCACAGATGGCACAACTCAGGCCCAGAGAACAGAAGGGACCTGCCCCCGTCTCAGTGGCAGAAATTGATGAGTCGTCGGGCTCAGCCCAGACACTGTGAGCTCCAGCTTCTGCCTCCTTGCGAGTGGAGAGCAGGGCCTGAGACCCAAGCTGGGGTTCTCCCTCTGCAGGTCTGAGCCAACAAAGCACCCCTGTGCTGCTGGCCCTGGGCACCCCAGCCTTAGCCCTTGCTGGGTGAGCAGGAGAAGGATGATCCCAGCATCTACACTGTTGCCTGAACTACTTGCTTCCCATGGGACTATGTGGGCAGTCCCCACATGGGATCGTCTAGGCTGGTTCCTCTAGATGCCCAGGAGGCAATAAACGGGGGAGTCACCACTGCCCTCAGAGGTCAGGCCTGTGGGGAACTCAGCCCCATGACCTGTCCTACGTTGAAGTCATGGGTCATGGGGGAGGGGACAGACCCCTAGGCCAGGGCTCAGGAGACCCAGGTTCATTCCTGCCTCTTCGTCTGACCACCTCCATTTCCCCACCTGCCCACCCGCCAAGTTTGGCCCCGGGTACTGAAAGGGCTACTCCCAAAGTTCAGTCAGCTCCCTGAAAGGGGGGTCCCCAGGGCAGCAGGTACCCGGGTATAGAGGCTTCCACTGGTGCGTCCGCCCGTTGTACACGTGGGAGTTGAAGGAGACGCACTGCTCCTCGCGGAAGCTCCTCCCGTCCGGCGGACACTCCTGGGAATCGAGGGGACAGGGAGGCTCCAGGAGGAACTCGGCCCGACAAAGGCATTTTTGTCCAGGCTAAGCAGGAAGTGGCTGCAGCCGGGACAGCCGTGTAGGGCCCAGGGCCCATGGAGTGGCCTCTCATGCACCCGCCCAGTGCTCCCACACACTCCGGAGGGAGCAAGGATGCAGGGAAGGGCAGCTCCGCCCCCGACGCCAGCCCTCCCGTTCCCCACCATGCCTTCTCCCAGCCTTGCAGTGGAGGGGACGTGACCCCACTACAGCTGGCATGGGTGCTCGCCTCAACCCTGTCCTCAGCAGGCCCTCACCGTGTAGCCACCATGCCGGAACAGGGCCTGGCACCTGGCCTGCGGCCATGCACACCGCCTGAATCAGGAAGATCGCGGCTTCATAAAGAGGAACCCAGTGTGCAGGCAACAGACTCGTCCTAGGGGACCCAGCTTAGTAGTGCTGGGGCCAGGACTCAAACCTGGGTCCCTCTCATGCCAGAGCTCATAAATGCCCCTCCCTCAACCCCCAGCTGCACCGTTCTAGGAGGGCACCTGACCAGGTGATGCCAACACAGAAGCTGTGGTCACCTGCCTCCCTCTAGCCCCTCACTCCCTGCAAGTGCACACACGCCCCCAGAGACCCCCAGCCGCTCCCCTTCCCTGCCCAGGCAGGCCACACAAGCCAGCCTGGCAGCTCCAGACCCCAGCTTGGCGTGCCCCAGCCTCACGCCCTGCAGTCCTTGGAAAGGTGTTCAGGTTCCAACTCCCCAGGACCCCACTGAGAGCTGCCCCTGAGGCCTGATCAGAGTCAGCACCTCCTCCCCAGCCTCGGCCAGCCACCGAAGGAAGCCGATGGGGGCTGGAGCAGAAGGGCTCCAAGAGCAGCCCAGGGGACTGTTTCACGGGACGGGGAGGGCTGGCAACTGCTCAGCCTCCCTGTTGGCGCCAGGCACACAAATGTGAGTAAAGTGGGACTGCCAGCAGAGGCCCCAAACACGGAGGCTGCGCTTGAAGCTCCAGGAGCAGAGCAAGGCATCCACCCCAACACTGCTGAGCACGCGTGCGCACGGGGACGGTGGTCAGGACCCAGGATGGCTCTGTCCTAGCCCAGGCTCCCCTCAGCCTTCTTTTCAACCCTGTCCCTGGGATCTCCTTGAAGAGCAGGCCCAGAACAGAACGCCTGGGAAGCCCAGGGGCCACCGGAAGATGCCCTAAAACCCGCATGATGACAGGGAGGAGAGCCGGCCATGGTGCCCCTGCCCGTGCCAGGCCTCACCTGCACTCTGCAGAGCTGGTACCGCTTGGACGTGCCCATGCAGGTCCTGTTCCCAGGGCCCGGGATGGACTTCCTCCTGGCAGAAAGATGCACGCTCAGAGTGAGGGCTGCAGGAGAGTTTCAGGAATGCCGTCTGGGCTGGCCGCACGGCCCTGGGGTCCAGAATGTCCCGATTCCCATGACCCGGAGGGCTCCTTCCTCCCTACTCAACTCCAACCCCGGACACACACCAGAGCCTAGGGGGAGTGAGATGCGATTCACTTCCACATCAGCACCACACAGCACAGGGGCTCAGTACACAGAATTGAAACAACCACACAGCCATGTGCCAGCCCGGGCCTGGGTGCACAAACATGCTGTGTGTTCTCAGAAGTATGAGGTGGGACCAGCATGCTCTCCATGCCATGGATGAGAAAATTGATGTTCAGAGAGGTCAAGTGAATTGCCCAAGGTCACACAGCAAGGGAGTCACATAGACCAGATTGGAACTGGGTCCGTCTGGCAGCGGAGGCTTTCACTGCAGGGCCTGTGCTTCTCTGGGGGCTCCCTGGCATTCTCTGAAGACCCTCACTCAGATCTTGAGAAGAGAAGGCATGGTGGGTCTCCTCTCTAGGACAGACCCCTAGAAACAGCTCCTGCCCTCTCATGAAGGGGCTTCCCTCGTGCCCTGAAGCATGGAGGACCCCAGGGCCAGTGCCAGGACCCATCCATAGCCACGTCCAGCAGAGGCTGACGGGGAGACTCAGCCTGTGCTGTCCCCAACCTGCGAGCACTCCCAGGGTGAGAAGCCACCAGGCTGAAGGGCGGCCGCCCTCTCCTGCCCACTGCCCCACCCTCATGCCAGCCCCTAGGGGCCACATGCCCGACCTCGCACCTCTGCTGCAGGCAGTGCCGCTCCTGGGATGTCACCCCGCCCCCGCAGCTGCGGGAGCACGCCGTCCACTTTGTCCACTCCCCCCACCAGAAGGCTGTGGCGTCGGCGTCCCCCTCCAGGCTATTGGACGTCGGGCTGTTGTCCTGGGTGAGAGGCCCCCCAAGACAGTAGAAGGCTAGAGTGCCCAGCAGGGCCAAACTGCCCCCCACCCCATGCCCCAGGGTATCACCAGCAGGACCAGAGGACATAGCCCTTTGGCTGGGGTCCCCACAGGGTCACTCGGCAGCCTGGGTTCAGATCTCCTGGGTGGCGTTGGAGGGAACTCCCAAGGAACCATGGGCCACAGGTCCTCCCTGACCTAAGGCCCAGGATGGCCTGGGGGCTTGGCCAGCTCCTGGGGCCGCACCTAACTGTCCTCATTTTCCCTGGGACCACTGTGTTCTGCAGGACTCAGCCCACCAGGCATGCTGGGGCCTTTGCTTGGAAGGGAAGCACTCAGACCTCTCTGCCCTATCCTGCCAAATTGCCAGGGGCTCCAGGGTAGCCAGGGCCCAGTTCAGAGCTGGTCTGGCTGGCTCTGGGAACAAGGTCCTGGGAGCCAAGAGGGGCTCTGGGATCCAGGGCACGTGACCACACAGCCCCCTCCAAGCCAGCCCATCTGGGAGTGAACACAGCACCTGGGAAGGGGATTGGCATGGGGCCCTCAGACCACAATGCCCCACTCACCATGGCCCCACTTGATTTTGCGTCCCTAGCCACAACCACCAGAACCAGCAGGGACCAGGCCCAGCAGGGACATTGCTGTCTGCCGTCCATCCTAGGAAGCAAGGCCACCGTCACCACCAGGCCAGCTCCGTTTCTCTTCCAGGTGACCAGGGTATGCTTCGGGGAGAGCCCTGAGGGCCCAGTCAGTGCCCAGGCCTCAAAGGTATCTGGAACTAACTGGCAGACCCTGGGGAAGGATGAACCCCCACCCCAGTCTAGGCTTAACACGGAGCTTGATGAATGATTAGCAATGCCTGTGGCAGGCAAGACACCCAGCGGTGCTGAGCGTGCTAAGCCTGTGCCACCCTTGATCCGAGGGCGTGCAGGGAAGCATGCCAGACTTTGCCTCCGAGTCCTCAAACCCCTGGAGAAAGGCCATGGAGACAGCCGGCCTCTGCTGAGAGGCTGGGGGCCCAGGTGTGGGGAAAGGCTGCGGTTCAAAGGGTTCAGTCCAGCACCGTGGCTGGAGCACCTTGGGATTTTGACCTGCTCAGCCTGTGCTGGCCTTGTAGGAGGATGCCACTGACTGCTGAGGGTCAGTGCCTGGGGATAAGCTTGGCCAGGTCCCAGGGGAACCTGCAGCCTCCACAGTCAGCACCCAGCAACAGCCAGCACTCAGGTGAGGCAGAACCCAGGTACTTATGCTGCCTCCCCACCCCCTGGAGAGAAGATGGAACTGGGGGAGGGGCGGAGTGGGAGGAGGTGCAGTTTGTGCCTGAATGTCAGCAGTCCAGGGCCTCATGGCTGACCTCCCTCCCAACAGCCAGCACCCCTGGCTCAAAACACCTGCCAGGGGTCAAATCAAGTCCAGTGGAAAGACTGTCCAGCCTCTGGGCCCTCAGCCCTCGCCACCCCCTCCTCGGCGCCGACCCTGCCCTGTGGAAGGGAAGAAGGAAGAACAGATCCTCCACGGCCTCTGTCCAGGGCTTGCTCAGGTGCTGAGTGTCACTTGCCAGCAAGTTAAAGAAGGGATTTCAGAAACCATGCAGCCTGCACCCATAACCTGGAGCCCAGAGAGGGGCCCAATGTGCCCCAAGCCTCACAGAAGCGTAGCACACTAGCAAACTCGGGGACTCGACTCCATGCCCAGCTAATTCCAGGAGAAGAAGGCACGGAGGTCACCCCTCACCCCTGCCAGCCCAGAGGCCAGCTCCAGCTCTGCCCCTCCCTCCTCAGCAGCCTCAAGCTTCCTTGCACGCCCGGCACCTGCAGATTTTCAGCGGTTACTCCAAGGATACCATTGCAGCCCGGACGACATGGCCATGCACCCTGGAGTTTGACACCCCGCCCCCGCTGCCTGCCCCCCACCTACCTCCCCTGCAGACCTCCAGCTGCACCCCCAGCCTCACACCCACAGGAGCCCCCTCCACTGTGCCATTGGCTAAAGGGTGCCCCAGCCTCTGCCTGCCGGCTGAAGACAGGTGCCAGCCGGCCTCACACTTGCTTTTCATTAAGGCTTCCAGACACCGCTGGCTTCAGGCCAGGCCTCGCTTACAGGGATCCATCCCCTCCCTGGGGTCCAAAAGCAGCGGCTGGCGGCAGCAGAGAGGTCTGTGGTGCACACAGAGCTTCAGGCGCACAAGGCTAGGTGCTGAGGGGCCACCCTGCCCGTGCCCTGCGGGCCGGACCCCTCCCCACAAGCCTCCCCACGTTATGTAACCACTCCAGAGGGCGCGGGGTGCTCCCACCCCCAGCCCCAGTCTGAGCAGTGGGCTGGCCTGGTGGGGGCTGCAACGTGAAGGGGATGGGGACAAGGTGGCCTACCTGGTCTGGGGCCAGCAGCTTGTCCTCCCAGAGAAAGAGGCAAGAGCTTCGGAGGGCAGGCGGCACCAGGTGCCTGTGCGTGTGGGGGCTGCGTGAGTGCAGAGGCTGCGGCCGGCCTCCTCTCCCCTTCCCCTCCTCCCCTGCGCCGCCTCCCTCTCCCACTTCAAAGAGCATCCAAGAGAGGGGGTTCCCGGGAGGGGCGCAGCCCAGTGGCGGCTCTGCGCTGGCGGCCGCCTTTATAGCTGTCAGGCAGACGGGGAGGAACTCACACTTCCCACCAGGCCGCTCCCCCGCCCGCGCCGGCCGGCCTGGCGCACACTTTAACCCGCTCTGCGCCTCTGGAGCCCGGCCAGGCCAGCCCAGCTGCCTGTTGGCTGCTGCCGGCGGCGGCGGCCCAGGAGCAGCGAGCACGGAGGCCGCCTTCCCCAGTCCAGAACCGGGGACCACATGTTGGGTGTCCAGACAGAGCAGCCGCTGGCCTGAGGTTACCGGGGAGACTGGCGGTGGCACAGCTCCGGCCCCGCCTTTCCGACTTCTGCCTCCAGAGTGGGCCTGCCCCTGGGGCTCCTGAGAATGGGGTCAGGGATATATGAGGCGTCCAGTCTGATGGCCCCACTGTACCGAGGGAAAGGCTGGACTTCCCAGGTCACCAGCCTCAGAAAGCCCCTGAGACCCAGGGGTCTAAGCAGGTGAAAGGACCGAGTGGGACCCAGCAAGAATGAGCCACGGGCTCCAGGGAGGGGACAGATGTGAGATGTGCCCATGGCCTGCTGACCAGATGGCTAGAGAGCCAGGACCAGGGCAGAGAGGCGCAGGGACTCTGCAGATGTCCAGCACCAGCTTGGCAGCCGCAGGCAGGCCATACCTGGAGCTCAAGTCTGTTTCCGCTGAGTCAGGGCACAGAGCAGAGCGAGAGTGGGCAGAGCATGGAGCCCCCCTGGGAAACCCCTGAGGACCCCATACTTTGTGAGGCTGTCCTAAAGCAAGGCTGGGCTCCCAGCCTCTGCAAACAGCCTCCCCAGAGCCCATCCTTGGCAAACAGAGCCACCTCCAAAACGGGGAGGAGGAGGAAGCCGGGGCAACGCTCCGTCAGGTCATCTGTGCCTTTTCATCCAAGCCCCTGCCTCCACGCAGCCAACATCCTGGGCCCACAGTGGTGCCTGGAAGACCCTTCTTTTTCCTCTGTCCTCCCCACTGGAAGAAACTGTTGGGAGTTCGTTCGGCTGCCTTCTTGAGAAAGTTCTGCCCTGTGTCTGACCACCCACCAGAAAGGCTGGGAAGGAAAGCCACCAGTAATAGTAGCGAAAACATGAACGCCCTCTGCCCTCTGTCCAGCTTGTCCTGCGGGTCCAGAGCTGTGGGGCCAGCATCCATCTTTGTTATCTGCATTTCACAGGTGGCAGAACTGAGGTTCGGGGG